ACACAAGGATTATACTAATATCAGGGGATATTGCATCTCGATAGGATGTGGCTCATGCGTGGTAGCAGGTCCTTCTCATGCACAGACATATCGCACTCCACCAGATCACATGCAATCAATACTGCTCGAGTTGAAGGTCTAGAATGATGAGAATGTCTAAGACCAGACCTTATTCGGAACAATTGAGAAGAGTTAAGAAGTGGCACTTTTGGCGCACTACGAGCAAAACAGCCGAGCTCAAAGCGAGTTGAGGAGCTGAACGAAATATGGCTGGACGAGCCCACGGATGGGAGATGGTATGAGGCCAGTGGGTATCGAGCGCGAGCGTATCGTATTTCGAGAGCAGCTTCGTCGCCTCATCGCCGACAGAGGCTGGGGATTCGCGGAGAGTGAGAATTGTTAACACAGAGAGTTGCTGGCCGAAGATGCTCCTGTTTCGTCCGCGCCAGATACTAAAAGGACCATGGAGTGTCAAGTGTGGCCAAAGGGCACATCCTGCCTCCTCAGGATTCGTCATCAGCCTGTCTCCTCTTCTCGAGCAGATCTGCTATAGCGTCCAACGTCCTTTGCCCACCATCTTCTTCATCGTCAGAACCACCGGAGACCATGAATGCCTAAACGAAAAAACCAATGAAGAAAACCCGAAAATAATGTGAGTCAGACGGAATAACACGAAGTAACATGCACAATACCGCCACACCAGGTAATATTGTTATATAAGAAACACCGGAGTTAAGGCGAGAGTAATAACAGCATGGTAAACATATAACACGGAGTCTAATACGTGTTAAACACGTATATATCGGACACATTAATAAGTACAAACACAGTTAAGGTTACTTGTACTACGTTAACACGTGGCGTACAAGGGCACCTAATAAACACGTATATGCAATGCAAGTAACACGGATTGAGCGTCCATTTACGGGTACACTTTACATGGTTTCTAGTACTGGTGGGTATCTACAGGAAGTTGTCTGACCGATGGTAGAAAATCATAGGAGCCAGATCTTCCACAGGCTTCGTCAGTGAGCCTTCAGAAGTATATGAATGCAAAGAGAATGGTTCTGTGAGCTTGACAAAGCCTGATAAAGAGAGTGGGGGCAGGAGAATGAGACGGCGCGAGAGAAGAGTTGGAGCACGAGAAATACTTACTATCAATCCACAGAAACAGTCCTTCCTTGGCTTGCAACAGAGAGCCATAACACAATTGCCTACGAGCCGCGAGCAATGAACGGTACTATCATAGCGAATTAATAACCGACATGGAGTATATGGTCCACAGGCGAGGCAAATTCATTCCTCTTACCGTTCCCGGGAAGGAATACCAAGCTGTAATTTCTCTACAGCTGGCACCTTGGCTTCCCTCCCATGAATTCCATAGCATGTATCAGACAAATGTGGGATATAGTGTGGGAGATCAAACAGACAGTAGGTGGGATGACCCATGATGCCCAAAGCCAAGTTCTTGAAGGCGATACCGCCTTATTTCCTACATCTGCTTTGTCACGTCCTTCGATCGGTATGTTCAGCATGGTTATGTTGCGGAGCTGTGCTGCTAGTCTCAAATCGGCATTGTAGTTTCTCCCCCAATTTCCAGCGTCATAGATGCATGCCACATGCGTGATTCCCAACGCGGAGTAATATGTCATGGCAGCAAAGGCGTCTCCTTTATTGGTGGGAATAGTTCTCCCAAAGAAGGGTCTAGCATCCAGGCTTTTGCTTGTGGCACTTCCTGAAACCATTGGTATCTCATAGAAGGCTAGCCCACACACAATTGATATAACCACGGTACGCTGTACTCAGCCCCATGGTAAAAGTTGGCAAGGTACCTGCTACTTCTGAACCCTGGTCCATTGCCTCGAGGAACTCTTTACTGGCAGGCAATGGTGAATACTCTGAATCTCGGAATGACATGTGCAATTGAAAGTCGTCATGGGAGCAAGTATCAAGCAGATCCGGCAAGCCTGACAGAATGTCTCCACTCCTATCCCTGATATCGTTGTAGGCCAAGAACGCTGCAATCTGATAACAAAGATGTGCATGATACTTAATTATTCTGCGGACAACATCCCCGTTGCTCCCATCCGCAGCACGTGAGATACCCGAGAGGACCAAGATCTCCCCATGTCGCCTTGGTGACTCCTCCTCGCTTCCCTGGCGTTCGACAATTTGACTCAATCTGCCATTATCCTTGGCATCAACAACGATAGTGTGGTTGTGTGACTCATCCATATTGTTTTCGCCGCTTGTGAGCTTGGTTTTTGTGCGTGTTGTGTTGTGTTGTGTTGTGTTGTGTTGTGTTGTGCCGCATGCTGCATGCTGATTGCAGATTGCAAGTTGCAAGTTACGGCTGTACGAAGCAGGAGCGTTCCTCAATGGTGCATGTCTTAACGAAAACCGACCCTATTATTTGGGACGGATTTAGGGACGGGTTCCCTTTAGGGTCGGGTTTGAAAACCGTCCCTAAAAATAGGGACGGTTTCTGAAAAAACGTCCCTTATTTAGAAACGGGAATCGATTTAGGGTCGGGTTTGAAAAACGTCCCTAAATGGAAGCGGGACTGAGTGGTAAATACATTGAAAACGCACCAATATTAGGGTCGGGTTTGAAAACCGACCCTAAAAATAGGGACGGTTTCTGAAAAATAGGGACGGTTTCTGAAAAACGTCCCTAATTTAGGGACGGGTTTCGATTTAGGGTCGGGTTTCGAAACCGACCCTAAATCAGTCGGATTTAAGGTCGAGTTTCCCCAAACCGACCCTAAAATTAGGGTCGAATTTTTAAAAAGGACATGCACGATTGAGGAACGCTCCAGGGTCATAATAATACAGAATTCTTATTAATTAAGGAACGGAATGAATTCTAGAGGCTGAAAAAGACTTAAATAAAGGAATGCTAGGAACCGAAGCGCGTGTATTTATTATTAGTTGTCACATGCCACTGGAAAACCGGGAGATTTATCCAGCCACGAGTATCATTTATTTGAAATCCATTCGTATACTGTACAAATCCATTGCTACTACTAGTAGTACATATAGCTCTATGATTGTGTACAGTATACGACTGTGATATCGTAGTAGATATAACTCTATGATAGTATACAGTACGATGAGCCACCACGGGTACGGTATCATATATATTTCATTGTGCAGTACAGTCGTGGTACCAGATACCGCAGCCGTCTAACCGAGCTCTTTCTAACAATTTTTACCATGCTGCACCGAATAGTACCGTACGTACCGTAGCCTGGTACGTGTACGGTACTGTACCGTACAGTATTCAGAACACGTCATTGAGAAAGACAATCTTTCAACGGGCTCTTTCACGCTTCGGCACAATGGCAAGGCTTTGAACCGCTTGTATCCTCCTCGGTTCCTCTATTATTTCTAAAGCATAAAAAGAAGACGATGAACCGCTGGTGGTATCAGACAACGACAGCTTTGTTGCGCCTGTTCCTGCTGGTTTCCCAGTGCCAAGCATGGAGCAAAAGTGCCCCGAACATTGTCATTGTTGGCGGTGGACCCTGTGGTCTCTTTTTGGCAGCGACCTTGTTGAAACAAAACCAAGAACTGGGCAAGAATTACAACATTCATGTCTTGGAGAAGCAAGCTCGTCAAGGCCAACCCGTCAATGCCTTTGGGATGGGATTGAGTCCTCGCATGGTCAAGACGTTGGAAGCATTGGATCCGGAATTGAGTGACCGTGTCTTGTCGGTGGGACAACTGACCGATATTGGCGGACAGCATCAAAAGCAATATCCTGGATTTGAATTCCGCATTGCGCAACGACAAGATATTTGTCAGCAAATGGTGGGGTATATCGAGGACACTTTTGCCAGTGAGGTGAAAGAGGGACGATTCCAGATATCGTACGATGAAGGATGCGAGAGTGTCGACTTTGAGGAGAAAACCGTTACGACCAGTCAAGGAAGGAACATTCACTATGATCTTTTGGTGGCCGCGGATGGAATCAACTCGAAAATTCGACAACAACTCGTCGCCAACGACGACAGCAATGACTGGACCGTGGAGCAGTATTACAACAAGTTTCGAGCTTGGAAAGCATTGGAGTTGCCACCTCAGTCCTTTTTGGTTCCAGGCACTTTTCAACGATTTATGCATCCCTCCTTTTTTTGTCAGATATTGCCACGCTATCCCGAAGGTCATATTGGATTGATGTTCTATGCGGCTCCCGAGATGGACAATGGTGACGACAAGCGCAATCCCGTAGGAATCAACACGGCCGAAGAGTTGAAACAAGCCATGACACAAACGCTTCTCGAGACAACTGTGGACGAAGGGAAAAGTGAAACCAAGAGGAGACTGGACCCTCTGAAAGGATTCCGAAAAATCATGGGAATGAAGGGCGAAAAGGATCGTAGTGGCCTGCTGGTGGAAAAAGACGAAGAGCGCCAAGTGGTGTTCAATGATGAGGCATTGGAACATTTTGTGCAGTCACGTCCAGGAAGAAGCCAAGTCATGAAGATCAATCGGTATCATGATAGCAAAGCCTCTGTCGCGCTCATTGGCGATGCAGCACATGGCATGTACTCTTTGTTGGGACAAGGATGCGCTTGTGGGCTACAAAACACCAAGATACTTGGTGAAACGCTGCAACAACAATCCTCTGATCTGGCCAGTGCCTTGGAAGCCTATTCCGAACAAGCTGTACCGGAAGGACATGCCATTACGGATTTGAACCTGGTCAGTCATGCCTTTGCATCCAAAAAGAAGCTCAAATTCTTGCCTTCCATGATCTGGAACAATCTGCGTGGCAAAGGACTGATGCAAAACGTTGGCAGGCATGATATCCCCTATACCAAGCTCTTGAAGCAAAACCGGGCCATCGTCAAAGTTGCCAAGGAAGAATGGGGAAACGCCCGTATACCAGTGCCAGTATCGCCCAAAGTACCCCCGGCGACCAACTCCAAGGTCTTGTCTTGATGACAATGACGGCAGCCAACAATCATTGCTCCCAGATGAGGCGCTTCAGTGAGCAGTTCTTACAAAGAAAGAATAGACGATGTTTTTTTTGTTCTAGCTGGGTTGTTGATAGCTCTGTTTGTATGTTTGTACGGTTGTATGCAAATATATACTATAAAAGATTGGATGCCAATCTTAAAGGTAACTCAAAATGTGACCAGTTCGGGTGCAGACCACTTTGACAACAGGGGTTCCATCTTTCTTTCCAATCAGCACAGAGGATGTCACCACGATACTGTCAATCTTGTAGGCAATCTGAGCTGGTGGCATTCCCCTGCAACTCTGGTTGTCAATCTCGAGAATCGTCATGCCAGCTTCGAGGCTTGTGTGTTCAAAGGGGGAGCCATGAAGGATGTGAGATATGACAACATACCCACCACTGGGATCCTCCGACAAACGAGCTCCGTAGCGTTTGCAAAAGACACCTTTCTGTCTGGGTCTCCTCTTCCATGTGATACGAGGAACTCTCTTGTCTTCGCTTTCCTTCTTCGTTGTGGTAGCAACATTATTGGCACCTCCACCAGTTGCTATAGTAGCCAGAATAGTCACCTGTCCCTCGGCTCTCACCAGGGTCTTGGCGGCTTCTTTGCTAGACAGTGTAGTGAGTTGCTTATTGTTGATCGTATGCACAAGCATCCCTGGCTTCAAAGGGGTGCTTGCTGCTAGACTGTCTGGCAATATCTTGCGTACAACAAAGTGGCCGCTTCTTCTCCTGGCCAGGGACAAGCCACATCGAGTTTTGGTCGTTGCCTTCACAAAACACGCCTTCACGATTCTCCTTTTCGAGGCGGGCTCAGCAAAAGGACGGACAAGTGAGTGGTTGAACTCGTGAACTCGGGCCGTCATGTTGATGCTATGCGTTGATTCTGTTGATTCTGTTGGCTTTGTTTTTGTGAGCTTTCATCTCGAAACACTCTCTTGCCTTGGTCCATCGTATCTTGAGCCGCATGCAGCCAGCTGTCCTGGTTGTTCCTTCCACTGTTGACTGTGCGCATTGTTCCAGTCTTGATGGCCACCCAGGAAGAAATTTTAGGTAAACGGAGTATTCAGAAGATCGATTTAAAATAAGTTTACCCCAACTCTGATAATGCAACCTGGTTTGGCACAGGCGTGATGCAGAAACACTTGTGGCCAAGCACGGCATTGGCGGAGCGGTACTGCTAGCTGCTGCTACTAGCTAGTAGGCTTGATGACTGGGAAGCGGATGAGATTAGCTATGGGCGGGCAGACTGTGCAGAGAGCATCAAAACTATCTACCAGTCCAGATGGGTTTCATCGACAGGATCAGTGCATCTTACTCATCAGAGATGCAGATGCAGTCAATGGCTACACTCGTGTTTCATTGGTGTTAGTTTAGAGAATCCTGTGCACTGTACACGTACCGTAGGCCTAACTGGTGGAGGGGCGGACTAGTGCTGATGAGGCATGAATAGCTGCATGAATATGCTTTCCGGGCAAAACGCACTTTCTAAAGTTAGCTCACTTCTCAGCATGATGCCGAGGCTTTAGTTAGAGGACAGGCTGGCATTTGGTCAGGCTTATTTTCACGCTTCGGCGCTTTTAGCTGACTGGGGACTGGGCCATAGCGGCACTTTGTCCTCCTCGAGCCACACGGAATCGAACCAGTCTATTAGTTGCAGTCCTCTAGCTAGTACTAGCTAGCAGGACCTGTTGAAGAGACTAAAGGTAGCGATAGATGTATTACGAATGATGTTATAAGATTATGAGGAAAAGCTACTTTGTTGTCTCTGTATATCTGTAGATCTGTAGATGGGTGGAGGCTAGATTCCGGTTGACGGTTGACCGTCAGACGGCCGGAATCAGCAGGACCAGCCGGTTTGGCCAATTGCTACCGTATGATCCCAGCGGGGGTTGTTGTCGTTGGTACGAGAAAGGAAAAAATGATGGTACATGTAGCCCAGCCAACCAGTATTTGCAAAACAAACGAGTTCAAATCAGGAAGAAATCATCCTATGAATATACTCATGGACTCTATGTTTTCTAGCTAGGTACTAGTACTTACTATACTCGTACTCGACCTGGATTGTGTTTTCAAGAATCCACATCTACACATTCTACTACTAGCTAGCTACTAGCGGTAGCCAGCCAGAGCTATGATACTAGTCTAGCTAGCTAGCTAGTAGTATTCTGTTGTGATCAGTTAGTTCTCAGAGCTGTTCTCAGTTATCAGTACAGTCGTACCAAAAACACCTTGGATTTAACTTAATTTTTAATTTGTAAGAACATCTTGGATTTGTAGGACTTGACAGGAGCGCTGCAGAAGGAGAAAGACTTACTTAGCAAAAGAGCTACTTATGGACATACGGCATACGGAGCACGGAGCTGCTCTACTCCGAGTAGTATTTTAAAAGCTATTTTTAATTTTAAAAAAGGAAGGATAGTAGAACCCCGTACAGTCGTACATTCCTCACTTGCACGTACCGGTAAGATACCGGTACTGTACATCTAAACCAGACTGTCACTCTACCAAACCACAGTTATCTTGTAATCAAGGTAGTAAATTATTGCTCTTGAGTGTAAGAAGTAAGAAGAGCATTGAGGAGAACTATTCTTCACAAGGATTTAACATGGAGCGCTCAGTTCTCATCAATGAATGAATGCTTACTGTACATGTACTCCAGCTAGAGTGTAACTGGCTAGAGTACTGTACTCGAGTACTCTGAGCTCTGAGTTGTAGAGTTCCAAGTGGCGGATGGACCAAACCAACTGGTTCTGACGTTCTGACTGTCCACCTTCCTCATAATATTATGACATAAAACACTCCTGCCACTGGCCAATGAGGATTTTTTTGGGGCTGCCATCGCAAAGCTCACCGCAACCACCTTTTAGTAAATTGCGGCCTTTGACCACCTGCTTATAGTGCCGTCGTCGACCACGTTTTACAGCGCTTGAGTGTCAGACAACCACTTCCTGCTTCCTCGTGGCAACACTGGCCTCCTTCCCCAGCTCCTTCCCCCCATTGGTCGCAGCTCCAAGAACCACTCAAACTTACCTCTAATCCATAGTAACCTCTTCGTCACTTCGCCGCCACCCCGATCAGTTCATCGAGTTCACTCCAAACCTCCAAACAACAACAACAACGACAACGACAACAACAACAGGTCTAATAACAATATACCCCGACCATGAGACTGCTGCGTCTATTAGTATCCTCCCTCCTTGGACCTTTGCTACTGCTCATCCCCCCGTGTTTGGGATCCGATGACGAGCTGGGGGGCGAGAAAGCGGTGCTCGACAACCACTTGTTTTCGTACAACATTTCGCATCGTCAGAGTGTCTGCCACCGTTATCTGGAATGGCGCGACGGAAAGAGGGAATTGAAGGACGCCTTGTCGGGGTTGGAATTGCGTCCTCTGATGGCCATGGGAGACTTTTTCAGCTATTCGGATGAAAATGGGATTAACCGGGAAGAGCCCGGCCTCATGGCCGAATTGATGGATGCCTTGGGGGAGAGTGCCAACTTTACGTGGAGGTCTTCTTTTGGGGTGATGGAACAACCAGAAGACTTGAACAAGACGTGGACGGAGTTGTTACTATGGGGGATTGAGACCTACGATATTGCCGTGAATTGGTGGGATCAGTCCGTCGAGAGAATGGAAGCTGGAGCGGCCTATGTGGAGCCGTGGTTCGACGGTTCGGTCATTCTCGTGGACGAAGAGGATCCACCCGTGGCCGATGACAGCATTGATCTACTCAACTGGCTCAAACCCTACGAGACATCCGTTTGGTGTATGATATTGCTCACCATCGTTCTGTCCGCATTGGCGTATCAGCTCATTGAACATCTCACGGACGAGCGAGATGACCGGCCCTTTTTGCAGTGGTTCTCAGATAATGTGTATCTGAGTTCCCTCAACTTTACACAAAACTTTGAGTATGCTCCGAGCCATGTGGCAGGACGTATTTTTGGGGTTTCCATGGGGGTTTGGGCATTGGTCATCACAGCAACCTACACGGCCAATCTGGCCTCTCTCTTTGTCGAGGATCAAAGGCCAGCACTCGTCGTGGACTCGATTGATCAGGCCATTGCTCTCGGTATGTTTTGTTGGTTCGTATGGTCGCATTGATTCTGTTCCATTCTTGCCGACCTTACCTTGTACGTAAAACGCTGACGATACCGTATTCAGGCATTCCCATTTGTACCTTCAAGGGCACCAACGCCGATTTCATCATCAAGAGGCGATACGAAAATGCGATTCGAGTACCCATGAATACAGAACTGCAGGGATACCAAGCTTTGAAGAGGGGGGAGTGCGGGTTGGTGGCGGGATACAGGGACAATTGGCTGGGATTCGAGCACAACACCAAGTACAATCCGGACTGTGATCTCAACTGGGTTGGTCGGACCGTCGAGATTATCAAGTCTGGGTTTGCCGTCAAAGCAGATGCGGGCTACAAGTGTAGTTCCCTCATCCGAGAAGTTTTAAACATTCACATGACACGACTCAGTAAGTAAGACAGTGCAAAAAGAATGCATGTTCTTGCTGATAGTGACAACTCAACCCTCTTTTTCTGTCTTGACTTTCCAGTCAGCGAGGGAAAATTGGAGGAAGTTTGGGAAAAACACCGTTCCAAGACGCGGGATCAAAATTGCGACGTGGAGAGTTCCGACACAGGGCGTCGTCAACTTGCCGCAAAGTCGGGTCTTCGGGGAAAAAGGGAACAATCTGCACGCAAATTGAAAGGGGGTTCCAGTGCGGCAGCCGCGTCGGGAGGAGGGGGCAGTTCCGGTCCCAGTCGCTTAACACTCAAACAAATGCTGGGGACCTTCTTTCTTCACTGGTTCTCAACGTTTATTGCCATCCTGGTTGCCTTGGGAAGCAAATACTACCGCAAAGTGTTCGGGCTGAGTATGGATGTTGTTACAAGTGTTGAGAAAGTGATGTATCGAAAACACGGCCAACTGTTGGAAGTTCTCCGCCGTTGAATACGTACAGAAGCGCAAGAGCCATGAGTTCGAGCGCACGAGAAAACTCGTTGGATATAGGCAACTTGAGGTACTCCGATAGAAGCAACAGTGACAGAAGCAACAGCAGCCACTCTGAGAGTAGGGGAAGGTTCTTATCGTTGCGCAGATCTACTAGCGTAAGTTTGGAAGAGCTGAAGCGTCTTGCTGTTCCGATTCCATCCCCTCACATGTCGCGGGTTTCGTCTCACGCGCGCACGGATCAACAGGTCATTGAACAGCATCCCATCACGGCAATCGCAGAAGAAGGCGACAGAAACGATGAACAAGCGGAAGAAGTGGCCGCATCACGAGGGGAACTGCAGAAAACGAAAAAAGAGCTTGACGACAAGATGGACATGGTGCTCTTGCTTTTACGCAAGATGCAGCCAACGCCAACGCCAGCGGAACGCGATTCTGATTCCCCCAATCTACCTGATTTTGCTGCGTAGTGAATCTCCCTTTGAACTTTGGCAACGGCTGATACGATCATCGTGGACCCAAACAACAATCTCCTGCTTTACGGTGCATGATCGTGGATCTTCAACGATTCAAATTTGTTGCCTTCCTTCATCTTGTCGAACACGATGATGGAAAGAGAATCCTCAATCAACCCTCGAAAGACAGCAGCTGGCACCTGGGACATTGTTCCCCATCCCAAAGCTGGATGAGAGTTGACTTCGCAGACGATTACCTGACCCTCGCTCGACACGAGTAGATCCGCACCCAGCAAAGCAAAGCAGGTTGTTGCCTGTGCCACTGGCTGTTGGAACGGGCTATCTTTTAGGCAGCAACCTGCTGATACGAGCTTTTCGGTGCACCTGCGGATGTTTGGCCACAAACCTGCAGCTGGATGATTGGGCGAACTGATGTCTTGGAGCAAGAAAGGCGGAGGATGCTTTTTGCCAGCCTGACTTATGTAGGCAGACTTTGGGGTGTTCGCATGGCTACAATCTTCTTTGGCATACGGCGATGCATGGGGCAGGCAGATGATATCCTTGTGGAGAAACGCGCGTACAGGTTTATCGCTGGATTGTAGCATCAAAATGTGAGCTCGCAAGACGAACTTGCGTCCTTGCTCATCCAATGCAGGAGGCACTTCTTGTTGGATGACGAAGTCCTGTGGATTTTTGGATCTTTGCCACCATTCTTCCAATTGAATCCTATTGTACACATATACACTTTTCCCTTGAGCTCCAAACCTATGTTTGACAAAGTATAGCTTTCCTTTCTGACTACTGTCGGGAGATGTAATGGTTGGAGGAGCAATCTCACTGGCGTGCATTTTCAGCAGTTCTGCCAGCTGCAACTTGTCATCTACAATATCCGTTGCAACCTTGGGATAGGGACGAATATGAGCTGCCTGGTCGTCGTCCATCTCGAATTGAGGGCCGGTTTTGTTGGGCCAAATGAACTGGATTCGTTCTCCCGAGCTCTCCTTCGATGCAGCTTCCAGATTCTCCCAACCACCCTCTCGGATCAAAAAGTCCTGGCCTGCCTTGGAAAGGCGCCCAAAGAGTGGCCCTCTCCAGAGCACTCGTCGTCCCTCAGGGCTAGACATACCGCCTGCTTTGGTCGCAAACATGGTGGAACCGACCAAACGGTCGGTGTCAGCACACTCTCCAAGAAAGGATCGAGGATTTGGACACAGCCCCTGCAGCGATCGACTCCAGCCAGGCCTTGTGAGCCCATCCACGCGATGCATCAGCAGAAAAAACAATATAGGTTCGCTAAGGAATCTCATAAGGTGCTACCAGTACCATCCTGTTGACTTGTCTTGTCGAGTGCGCCAATGATGGACGCGTTGGTTGCTGTTCTTTGCCGTTGTGACAGCTCTTCCAGTTCCGGTTTGCTAAAAGCCAGCAGGAGCTGTGAGACTTTTCTCCACTTTTCGGCCTTCGAGATTCTCCGCACAACAGAACGCTCCCGTGATATGATCTGCCTCCTGCAGCTACCTAATAGGCCCTTGCCCCGCCAACAATCAAATGGATTGGTCCAGTATAAGGAAATGAAGGAACTACCTATACTATGGTTTTGATTGCTTCTGGTTGTGCCTAGCTACGTTTATCATTTGTATGGTGCCAATTCGATGCTTGCGTGAAGAAGTGTAAATGAGTTTTTGCAAAGGAAATACAACCAAGCTAGGCCTTAGTTTCAGGCACTCCACGCAAGTTGCGACTAAACATGGAATCTTCTTCAGAGTCAGAGTCACCATTGTTCATTGACTTCAAGGCATCCAACACAAGGCCCATGTAGTCATCCTCGTCTTTGCCACCCATGTCCACGCCAACATCATCATCGTCGTCGTCATCATCATCAGCTCCAAAATCGCCTCCAACACCACCACCACCACCTCCTCCAGAGCCATAACCATGACCATTGTTGTTGACTTGGTTCACATTTAAGACAAACAGTGGACCATCACCATCATATTGGAGTCCATGCTTGCCAGAGGATGACTTGTGGCTATCATAGTCATCATCATAGTAGTAATCATCATCATAGTAGTAGTCATCATCTTTCTTGCCAGAGGATCCACCTCCTGATTCTTCATAGCTATCCTCTTCATATCCACCTTCTTCAACTGAATCCTCCTTTGGGGGCAAGAGGTTGCCTTCACAAACTTCTGGGGCACAGTTGCATGGGGAGTCATCCTTACAGGGGCCATGAGGGTTGTCAAGAGACACAAAATATCCAGGAAGACAGCAAGGTGGCTCATCCATACTCGGTGTAAGGAACACTTCATTGGATGTGACATCCCATCCATTCTCAACACAAAGATCCCTCACTGTGATGACATACTGCCAAATGATACCTTGATGATACCAAGTATCTGAATGTGATACCTCTTCATTCATTTGAAGGCCTTCAGACACAGTTCTGGCAGCACTGCCACCATAAGATGCAGTCGATGACAAACTTGCACTACCAAAGGCAAAGTTTGCTTCAACTGTTGCAGTGACACTGACCTCCCAGTTTGTGGTCTGCTCTTCAGATCGATCCTTGCTCCTTGTAACTCCTTCTGTCCAAGTGGCAGTTGTTGATTCACTAGTTGCCGATCGAAGATACTTCCACACACCCTCACTGCTGGTGGCCATGCACTTGACACCATCTTCAACAGCACCCATACCAAGTTCCTTCCTGATGGTCCACAGGTATCCATGTTCAGTCTGTTCAGTTGAAGAGGAGTAAATGTCCCTAGGTGCCATCTGGTTATTGTCACCATTCAGTGATCCTTTCATCCAACGATGTTCCCGAGAAAGGCTCTGAATGTAAGCAACACTCAAATCTTCCACACAGAGGCCCTTGGCAGGATCACTGAAAAATGGCTTGGTAATGAGGCCATCACCAGCATTGCTTCGTAGAACCCATTTGAATCCCTCAGGATCATCACTGTGGTCGTTTGACTCAAGATCCTTTGTATGGGCTTCGTCACGGTTGCTACCTCCAGTTGCCTTCCACCATGGCTTCTTGACATCTTTCACCATTTTAATGTGAACCACATCTCCATACTTGACACACCTGTTGGGTGTACCATTCTGGGCAGTGAGGATTTTCTGCAAAACAAGGAGGAAGAAAGAACAAGAGCTTTGAGAGCTGGCTGGTACTCTTGCAACCGACCATCCATTGTAGTATCACAGAAGGCCGGAGAAGTATTGCTGGCTTGACTTACAAATTGGTAGTAATCAAGCTTTTGACTCTCAGAATTGCTGGTGATGGGATCCTTGGTCCAAAGCCCATCATGGTCGCCACCACGGCCTCCGGTTGCATACCTGCGATATTCACCTAGGTTCTGAAAGAAGACGGGATCTCCATACTTGATGGCGTTGGAGGGTTCATTGACGCTGTCATTGGCAGTCACACGGGAAAGCAGCAAGGCCATGCCCACAAGAGCAAAGTGGAAGAATCTCATTTGAGAGGCAATCTTCATTGTCTGCATTGAATTGATTTGATTTGATTTATGGCTTTCTTTTTTAATGAGGAGAGTCTCTGGAAGATTCGTCTCTTCGCAGCATGCAGACTAGCTAGCCAGCGGAAGAAGTGGTTGCATCTACACTGTACAGTATCACAGCGTCTGTGGGGTCGTTCCTTGCCATTGCATCCAAGCTGAGCGGTGCGATGTCAAGAAGAAATATCGTGTTTTTATTCATGCAAATGGGTATCTGTACCTGCCAGGGGTGCTGATCGACGAGTACAGTACTAGACTAGTACGCCAATCTTCATTGCTTCTGAGCCAAGAACCATATTCGGATCTTCATGTTCGTATTCGGATCAATCCGATCTCTATCTAATGTGATTGATTTTTATTTAAAACCGGTGGTTGAGATATCGGAAGCATTTCGGTTCTTTGTGATGGTACCAACCGCAACGACTGAGGACAAGTAAGTATGTACTCCACTGTCGCCCGACTGCCCTGGTTCTGATCAAACCAATGACCGCTTTATGGTAATGGAACCGGCTGAGGAGTATCCATGACTGGCAGGCACACGTCCACACACCCACACAACGCTCAGGCCAAGCCTCTGAATGGCAATATTATTGTCTCCGTGCTCTAAGTTCATCTCTGCTTCTCGAGCTACGTGTGCCTGCGTCTGCATCACTGTGGCAGCAAGATTGCAGTTTCCAGAAGCTTGCATGTCAAACAGCGCATCGAGCTGAGAGAATCTTTTTCCTTGAGCTCTCGAGATGTGCATAAAATCAAGAAGCTCAAAACAAAAAGGAAAAACCACAAAAAGAAAACCACCTAACCATCTTTCGAACAGTATAATCCAACAAACTTCAAGAACAACATGCGTTTTTCAACTGCCATCTTTGCCCTCATCCTTGCCGTGTTCCCATCCACCTTGGCGGCCCCTGGTTCCCTCCGCACCTCCGCTGATGATGCACTGGATGCTGCAATTGAAGCATACGCTGAGATCTTGGTACCTCCAGCTCAGGGTGAACGACACCTTTTTGGTAGCCTCAATGACCTGGGTGACAAGCTTACTGGCATGTTGCCTGATGACTTAGACGAAGACAAGGAGGAAGAAGAGAAGAACAAAGACAAGGGAGAGAATGAAGACGCCGGACGTCCCGATGGTCGCCCTGATGGGCCTGACAATGGTCGCCCTAATGGTCCTGACAATGGCCGCCCTGTCAAACCCAAACATTCTCACCCCAAAGATAGCTCTGATGACTTTGATGACTGGCGCAGTGGCCGACACAGTGACAAGAAGAAGAGAAGCCGCAGCTACGATGAGGACCGCTGGGACAGTGGGGATGATATGGCCAAGGCAGTCCGAAGGGAGATCAAGAGACAAGCTACAGTGGAGGCTGAGAGGAAGAGACAGATTGAAGAGATCAAAGAGCAGCTGAACATTGCCATTGATAGGAAGGTTGATGAGGCAGTGGAGGAAAAGGTTGCTGAGCTTGTTGCTGATGAAGTCAAAAAGGCAATGAATGCAATGAAACAAGAGTTGCAAAAGACTGAGAAGCAGCCACTCAATTCCCGCCCACACCCAAAGGAGGAGCACACACCAAAGCTTCCAGAGGAGGCAGAGGTTCCACCCCCACCAGAGGAACAGCCCGCTGAGGCTGCACCACAAGAGGGGCCAGTAGAGCCCACTGAGGCTGTGCCACAGGAGGAGCCAGAAGAACCCACGGAGACGGCACCCCAGGAGGAGCCCACTGAAGCTGCCCCTCAGGATGAGCCTGTTGCTGAGCCCTAAAGCTCTCTAAATGTTTTGAAGGACAATGAGGAAGAAAACGTATGACAATGAGGAAGCTTGGGATGGCTAAGCAGGAAGTTTGGATATGTCTAGGCTGGTTCCCCCATTAGAGATCGTAAACCCAAGTAATCAGACGTGTTAAAACGTTTCTATACATTTTTTGTAGCCGCCACGGGCTGTCATCCTATGAAGAAATCTGGTACTGGAAGGTCTGTCTAGCTAGAAGAGTGGACAATCTTGATGTTCCAAGAGCCGTGGTGCACAGCTCGTCATGGCTTTCGTGGCAACTCTCTACCCCAGTCTGCCATGACTTTCACGGCAACCTGAGTGGATTTGTTCTACTTGGTTCAAGATTGATTCTGCTCGTTGAAGAGAAGAGAGGTGCTATCGCAATCCACCTTTTGTGATTTGCTTGGTACTCTGCGGAACAGCTGCCGCTAATCCACGAGACTGTTACCAAAACGTAAAGAAGAGGCAATCTTTGTTTAGTCAAGTGTGCAAAAAAAGTGTGTTATTCATGAATTTGCATTACAGTATATTGCAGGTGCCAGCTGCTGTGAGCATTCCTTTGCCTTCGTTGTGTGAGTATTGTTGTCTTACTCCATTCTTTTTCACACATAGTTTGAAATCCTAATAAAATGTCTTTCGATAGGCGTTGGTAATGGATTCAATGGAGAGCAAGATGATCATGGCATGTGGTGCACAACGTGCATAATAGGCCGAGAAACCACTGAAGAAACCTTTTGGCCCTTCTTTTTTGGCAATCTGCATGGCACAGTCTAGAATTCCCTTGTAGGGCATCTCTCCAGTAATGGGATTGGGCTTTTGTGCCATCAATCGGCTCTTGACGAGATCAAAGGGCAGAGAAAAGAGCGCTGCTGTAAAGCCTGCTGTGGCGGATGCCCCCAATCGCGTGGGAAGCGAAGGTCCATCGGTCATTGGGTCTTGGAGCAATGCCGCAACAGTTTCTTTGGCTTGATCGTAGCAGGCCATCATACCGACATTCATGGACATGCCTCGCAAAATATTGGGCAAAAGTCCCTTGTAGAGAGCCCCGACTCCTTCTTCGGTGGTAGTTCGTACCAGGGCATCAAAGACGTTTTTGTAGTTGCGGCGATCTTTGGGATCGGCCATTCCATCGGCTTGCAATCGCACAAGTGCAATATCAAAGGGAGTTCCAATGCAGACAGCAATGGATCCACTGGCCATGCCTGAGAGTGCCTTTTGTAGGAAATTAATGGGTTTGCCGTCGTTCCTTGCAACCAGCATATCGGAAAAGTTTCGATGCAATCCAATACGGGCCGTTCCGTAGACCAGTTGGCGTCCAATGGCGGCATCGACTCCCTTGTAAACGGCACCAATGCCCCCCTCCTTGACCGAGTTGCCAATAATGGTCACGAAGGAGGGAACCGGTTTGCCAGGATTTAGCTGTCCGTAAAGCTGCATTCGCACCTTGGCCAGATCCATTGGGTGAATCACTACCGAAGCAAAGGTGGCAGCAGAGCCACCACACACAAACGGTTCGAGGTTCTTGGCAACGGGCATTTTTGTATTTTACGTTGGGGTACAAGCAGAAACTATTCAATGAATATTGTTAGGGCAACACTCCTGTGATGCTGGTTGGTCAAGTTGTGAGAAATTGATGGCTGGGAGATTTGTTGGTCGAGCTAATTTGTGATTTCAACAGTGTGGCTAGCCATCCATCAGAGATCGCTGGTTGATTGGTCAGCAGATGGTTATGTCGTCGTCAAACAAGTGGTGTGGAGCCAGGCAAGGAACTTTGAGGGAAGGAGCCGACCATACCGGTACTGACGGCATATCGGCACTTGCGTTTGTCTGAGCATGCAGAAGTGGATGTTCTTGGAAGAAGCGGTCATCAAAATGACCTTCTAAAAAACAATTCCGAGGGTATCTTGTTGACGTCACCGGAAGATCTTCGATTTCGCCGAACTGAAAGATTCGGCCATGATTTTTAACAAAAGACAGCGGCACCGCGGTTCGTACCACGGCAGCTCTATCACTCCTCTTCTTCCTCTTACAACCTGTGTCTTTTGTTGACAAATGACAGCATCGCTTTATTCGCCATGGCAAGTGGTGCATGGGCCCATTCGAGACATTCCGACTCTGGAAAGCATGCCGGGGGCATTTATTTCTCCAGCCAACCACAGTTCTCCGCAATGAATGCCTGGACCAAGCTGAGAGATCCCATAGCAGCTCAGCGCATTCTGGACAGGATAATTGATGCCTTCAAAGGTGGCAACAAAGTTGTCAAACCATTTTTTCAGCTACACCACTTAGACTACTTTGATGGATGAATATGCGGACCAATTCTGGTCTTCCAGAAGCTGGGAAAAGGCCGAGAAGCTACTTGGTGCGGAAGATTGCACCAATTCTGGGGATTCACAGGCAGATCTGAAGATTAATTGGCTGAGACAAGAAATCGAGGAAATTGGAGAACCCAGAGAACTCCGGCGGCAACTATACTAACATGATGTCTTACTGCTGTCGCTCGCACGATCAAGATATTCGCCAGGAGCATACATACATATTGTAGACACCTCTGCTGTATTGCTCCCTCCCAGCAAAAGTAAGCACTAGCTAGCGAGACTGTTATGCCTTCCTGTTTACTCCGTTGGATTCTTTATCATCCCTGGTGCCAATCAATTGATTTGGATGCAGAGTCCATGTACTGGTGCCGGAAAAGTAGACTACAGATGGAAGCAAAGGTTGGGAATCTTCCACAAAACAGTATTTTAGCAGTCTAGCTGGTTAATAGGCTACCCGTATCTTCTTTCGCTCCGGTGGGATCGATGTTGAGATGAACCGAGCAACCATGGTGCCATGCGGGATGCAGGAGACCCAGGATGACAACAACCATTCACAAGATATGCAAATTTCGTGAAAGAAACAAAACTGGTGACATCAATCAAGGGTAGTTAGCTAGCTAGCTAGACATTGAAACACAATGATGAGGATTTGGTTGTCGATTCGACGACGACCCATTGTGGGTTTGTTGTTGCCCTTGGTACTTGTATTGGTCGCTCGATCCTACTATAATGTCGTCTTGGATGCCCGAACTTTGGCTGGCGTCGAAAGCAGCAAGAAGAGTGGTCGAAAAGAGCACTTGGCATCTTGGTGGGGAGGAACTCTGGTGATGAATGACAGTATGCCCGTCATGATCCAAAAGGCCGCCAGCAGTCGTCAAGTCCAAGCCAAGGCAGCCTTGCAGCGCATGAAAGACCAAGGTACCCTAACGGCTCTGGTTTCTTCCAGAGACCACGTGTTAAAACATGGATTCCCGATTCGATGGGATGATTGCGTCTTGGACCATTTGTATCAGGAACAAAGAGCCTTCGATGTTGTGGTACTGGGTGGTGCTTCGGGTACGGCACGACATTATACGTCCTGTCAGCAGCAAAAGCACACCACCACACAAAGAAAACCCAGACCGACGAAACGACGCCCCGTTTACAAATCCCTGTTGCAACAAAAGTTCCATCAAGTCAACACTGCCCCTCAATTGAATGTTCGTGTGTTTCATCGAGGACGACCGGATGACTCCGTCGCCAATACGCTGCTCCTCGATGAACTGGTCCATCCCCTGACCACCAATGTACTCGTTTGGGAGGATGTTCTAGTGGAAGCATCGGACACAACGGAAGATTCACGTCAGAAAGAACTCGAACAAGCACGACGACTCGACTTTTGGTTGACACGCATCCACGCGCTTTACGATCAAGCTGGGAAACGACCTCCTCCCATTCTCATCAACTACTTGTGGGATGTGGAGACGGTCAAACGAGTGAAACAAACACCACCAGTCACACTACCACCTGGAATCCAGCAGCAACGACGACAGCAACAACACACATCTTTGGTCGATCGCAAACCATTGCAGTATACCCAGAAATTGATTGATTCCTATCGTTCCTTGGGATGGAACATTGCGGTCATGAATGTCGGAGCCGTGATCAAGGACCATCGTTTGTTGTTGGATGACAACGACCATCCCAGTTGCCAAGCATCCAACTTGATGGCCGAAATGATCCAGCATGCCTTTTACTCCAATCTGGCAGCAGATCGCAACTGTACCAGCGATACCCATTCTCCGCTTCATCACGACTGGAGGCATCACGGAGAGACCCAATCCATTGTACCGCCGCATCCAAACGTTTTAGGGGACGTCATCACTACTCGATGGGAAACCTTGTGGAGAGACTTGTTTCGAGAAGATGCAGTCATTGGTTCCTTGACCGCCTGGGAACCACGAATCCACAACCGCACCAATCTGAAAATGGCACCACAGGGCAGGACCAAGTGGCCCATGACGGTACAGAAAAATGAACCAAAGCACAGGGACCCATCCGTTGGTGATGATACTGATGATTTGAAGAACCAGGCCTTTTGGGTGCCCCGATGTGGTTTTGGTAGTAGCGATTTCAAGATTACCATTAACGATCCCAATCTCAAATGGCTCGGCCTGGGCATTGAAGGCAAGGACCATTTCAAGCTCTTGATCAATGGAGTGCACACCAAACACACAGCAACGCCCAGAGCACCGTGGAGTTTCCAACCTGTTCACATTACACAATGGGTACCCGTCTTGGAGCATGTCGCTCAGAGCAGCCAGTATGAGATATCCATTTGCCGTGATCATCCTACGAGAGGGTCCTTGCACCACTTTGTGGGGGTTTCTGTCCCTCCCAGCTAACTGGCTGCATTTATTCTAGTAGGGATCTTTACCTGAGATCAGCCCTTTGCATTTACCAATGGCTGCAGAAAGCCACGTAATCTACATACTAATAAACACGCGTAACCATCCCTTTGTCATTCAACAGATTAGGTGAATTGTCTACGTTCCCAGGTCGCAACAGAGTAAGGTCTCTGTTTGTGCCGACTGGAAACAAAAAAGTCGCTACAGTTAAGGACTTGATTGTGGTGGAGCTATCTTGTTGCTTTGTTGTTTTCTGCCTTATTCAATACAAGTTGAGCTTCTGTGCAAATCTGTGCATGTACAGATCGAATTGCTGTCTTTTCTTGTGGTTGAACGTATCCATGTGTTTTGAGATATTGGTCCGCTTCTCCTGCAGTTCTTGCTCTGACTTTTGCAAGATGGATTGGAGAGAAGCATCAAATGCAGCTTCACTGGAAACTTTTACAGTGTATGAAACATCCTCCCATGGCACAAAGTCAGGGAGTATCTTGATCTGTTCTGCACTAGTCACAAGTGGAATAGCACCGGTCAAGAGAGTATCCATGAGACGATTGGAGCCCCAGGTGTCTCCGCGGACATGAAATCCAAATCGTGCCTGTCCCAAGGCGGGACATTGATTGCCTTGTCCACACACTGACACAGTGTAGTTGTGATGCCTTTGCCGGAGCCAATTACAAACATGTGACCTGTCACGAAAGTTCGGGTTGTTTGGTTTCAAACTGGCAATCAAGGCAAAATCGTGTGTCTTGTTGGCATGACTACTACTAGGACAGGGTCGTCCAACATAAAAGGAGGGTATGTGGACCCGTCCACCAGTGGGGACTTGGTACTGTTTGGCGTTTCCACTTTTGGGAACACGATTTTCAAAGCTAATGGAGTTGCAATTGAGAAGACGCGAGCCGGATATCTGTTTCCAATGCTTGCGCCAATGGGAATCAACCACTATATGATCCCGTCCTTGACTGCGCTGGTACCATTTGGATTCCAGGAGCAATTGTTCTGCTCTTTTGAGCAACTGCAGATTGCAAATTCCATTGTGAGCACAAAATTTGTTTTGGCTGTCATCGCCTTGGAAACCGTAGAAATTCCATACCGATAGCAGTGTGGGTACAAAGAACAAATCAGCCTCCCGTGGATTGAATGTCCGCATGGGATGTTGTTTGGCATGGTAGAGCAACCAGTAATCATCTGAATGCTTGTAATTCAAAAAGCCGCTTTGATTCAACCATTCACTGTGATTGGCACCACGAAATATGGTCGCATTTACAGACCAGTCCAGTTCGTTGTCATAAATGTAAAAGGGAAGCTGAAAGACTGAATCCAGTGATGCCTCTTGTTGGCCTTCTTCTGTCTTGGTACTGGTAGTTGTGGATGCGGCTGCAATCAACCAGGGGCTGCTTTGATTGGCAGCAGTAATGTTGTTGGACGCAGCATGTTCAATTTGACGCAATTCTTCTTCAAATCTCAGTGACGCTGCCTTTATCTTGATTCTGTCCGAAGATGGATCCGTCCTGAATAATAACTGTCGAGAGGAAGATCTGACTCCCCAAAACACCACGGACTGCATAATCACAAATCCCAGGGCCAATCCAAAAAAGAATTTGATCTTGCTCAAACCATTGGTCCTTTCCTTGCTGCTCGTGTTGAGTGTCATTTTGGGTGAGTGATGTTTATGATAGTGCAAACTCCTGGTATTGCTGCAGTGGTGTGGACAACTAACTGTCTAACTGTGATGATGTGAGTGAGATGGTGCAGGAGAAGGATAGGAGCTGGTAAGTCCATCCGGCAAGAAAATGTGAGCAAACTCTTCGGGAAAAGGAGTATCCATGACTGAGTTACTCATTAGGGTTAGAGAGTTGAACTGCCAAGCACATCCTCTTTTTGTTTCTTCAAATGGATGACCTTCGACCTTCCTTGTCTTGAAGGGTGACAGATCTCCGTTACAACAAACCTGCTGTAGACCTAATAAGACAATCAAGCGGAGAGGCTGAAGCCATTTATCGCCCTCTTCGTACGGTAGAGCGAGAAAGCCAAGCGAGGAGACGACCCCCTTTTGATTCATTACAAGTACTTTAAAAAGTCACAAGTTGTTTTCCGCCAAAATGAGGGCATCCTCCTACAGTTTTTTCCGGCTCCTCCTTCTGCTGCTACTGCAGCAACGTGTCTGGGGCGCAATGCACTGGTCCCTGTTGCGCATATTGACAGACGATTTGTTGGAAAAGACCGATCGAGCCAAATTGGTGGGCAACTACAAGGCACCCACAATGCCCACCAACGACTACTTGATTGATCCTTCCTGCGATGAGGACCAAGACGATGAAACCTGTCAAGCTGCCAAGGCCAATCGACGGTCCGTGTTTCCACGCAAGGAGGATGACGATGAAGGACCACTGGTCTGTTTGGCATTCTTGTCGTGTTGTGGTCGCACGGATTTGTTGCAATCGACCATGCAAGCAGTCATTCATCACATGGAACACGATGAACCGGAAGTTCTCAAACGACGGTACGAAATTGCATGGTTGGACAATGGAAGTCCACATGAAAAACAAGAGCACATTTCCAGTACGTTTCAAGTGGATCATGCTCTGCCCATGCCAAGGAATATGGGGTTGGTACGTAGGTTTTCAAGACAGACAGACTCGAGTCGTAAATGTACCACATTCTCTCTGTCACATTGGTGTATACTAATTTCATCTATTCATTTTTCTCCACATAAAAAGGCATGGGGAATGAATGCTTTGATGTTTGACATGTGCACCGCACCGTATATTCTGCTCTTGGAAGAAGATTGGTTATACATGGATGGCGCAGTCGCCGATCACAATATACGTCGCAAACATGCCATTGCCAATGCGCTCGCATTGCTCGAATCAAAACCCGTCGACCCGGAAACAAAACGACCCATCAAGGGGGTATTTTTACGAACCGAAAGCAACATTGTCAAAACGGGTAGAGGCGTCGTGCCACATGCTACTTTGGGTAGTGACGATAACAGTGATGATGAGTATACCGTGGACAATTTGGAATATCGCATTTCCTGCATGAAATTTCCCGACAATGGACACATTTTTGGAGCCTTTACGAATGGGGCTGGATTGTACGAACGAGACGCCCTAATCCACCAAGTGGGACGCATGTACGGAGAACCGGGTGATGTCTTTAGTGATTTGGCCGTCGAGGGCAATTACTGTTTCCGCGTAGGATTGCAGTTCTGTGCATCGCGCATCAATATGGATCCCACCATCCCCGAATGCGATTTTGACAACAATCCTCATGTTCCGCCGACCTGTGCGGCCGTCTTTGCCCATATTGGAGGAGGGCGAGGCACTCGGCCGGCACGTCGGATTCACATGAAATGCCCCGACGATGCTTGGAATTTCTATGGAACGCCCTGGTTTGATCAAATACCCAAAGAGGAATGTAGCAAACACATTGGAACCATTTGGAAACAGTTACTATTGAATGAAGAGTTTCAAAGAATCAACGACGAAAACAACGAAGCGGTGTTTGCGCGTGAACAAGAACAACGCAAAAAGATGCTGAGTTTGGCAGATTTGTTTGAACCCAAATCCAGCGATCCAGAGGAATTTCGAAGATATTACGGTGCGCATGATGCACAATATGCCAGCATGACAGATGACGAAATCCGTAGCTTTCCAACCAAACTGCGCAAGATGGCTCTAAGTGAACATCAACTACCAGGATTCTGGGATATTCTAGGGCGGCCCTTGGGAGTGGAGTTTGAGACACCTTATAGTGATGATCTGTAGTAGTAATTGAGAGTAGGAGTAGTAAGTCCCTTGTAGGTTACCTTTTGGAAGATTGATTGCATGCCAAACTTTTTGAGAAATTAAACGGGAGATTACTATGGAAGCCGGACAGCCAAGATCGAGCAACAGACCAACAGAAGAGAAGGGGTCCCAGGGAGGAGGCCAGGAAAAGGAGAATGGGTCAGAGGCCAGAGGACAAAGATTATTGGCATCTTGTTGGCACAAGACAATGTGACAAAATGGCATCCTTCAGAATTGTCTGAAGCGGGACAAGATGGTGTTGAGGCTGACATGGACCTTTCTATGATGCCACTTGCGAGGATCTCGCAGGTATGAAATACGCCGAGATCATGTATACGGTACCTCAGGCGAGACCACCTATCTCTGCACTGAACAAAGTCTTTAGCATGCAGAGGCATCACCACGCTCTACGACTCCAACTTCGCAGTGCAGTTCGCTGTTGTCATGCTTGTCACAGGCATCTTTGCTGCCGAGCTCTGGCTCTGGGCTACTGGCTCGCAGCACAGCCAGGAAACAGTTAGCTTGGCCCAGACCAGCATCCGAATTCCATTAGTCGGTAGCACTACCGACGCTGTGAAGATGCGCTTTAGTCTCCCTGACACCAATTCTGGTTTTCTCATTCCGCTACTTGGGCACGTAAACCTTCGAAAGGCAGACATGATCAGGCCACGGCCCTACTCTCCAGTCCTCTCGCTTGAAGCTGGATTCGTCACGTTCATTGTTCGACATGCTCCTAGAGGACTTCTTTCTACGTACACGGTCCAACAGATGAAAGAGGGCCAGTCTCTGTTGCTCAGTGGTTCAATGGCTCCAGTCATTGCACCCTCACTACAGCACGCCAAGAACCTTCTCTTGATTGCCGGGGGGACTGACTGGTATTGCGCCGTTCTACTCTCTCATTGAAACCATGGATGGCGCATGCCACGTACTAATGGCTGAAAAAGGCCAAAGTCGCACCATTGGTATCCAGCCGACGAATGAAAATGTTGGTTCCGAGGTCTGCATTGGTCGCAAGAGTCTCATCAGCGACTGGAGACTCTCCTTGGCACGGAAAGGGAAGTGCCAACCGTCTCGTGTATGAACAACAGCCTGCGGACGAAGCTGAGCTGCTGCATCGAGGCATTTTTCTTCTTTTAGTAACTCGAAAAGTCTTTCGCATCTATCTCCCGGCAAAACCAGCTTGAGAGCCATGAAGCTACTGCGGCCGCCTTCCTGTCCGCGGGACGACACTTTGAAGACACGAGCAAATGCCCCCATTCCGAGAAACGAATCTTGCGAAACGGTGAGCTGCCAGCGAGCACAAATAGAGTTCAAAAGCTCAATCCAAGGTGAGCGACCAAGGTGAAAGAAATCGGTCAAAAAACTCCTGGAGCCTGGGACACTCCAGCCACAGGTCTGCACGTGCGAAATTTCCCCCTTCAGCGCAAAGACGAGCCAACTCGGTTTTATGGTAAAGAATGAGCTTGGTGCGCGTGGGGCCTTTGCCAAAGCAAATGTGTCGCGCGTAATTGATTTTTTCACCAGCTACAGTAAGGATACTTGCACTGTCATATTCGGTGTTATCATCAAGGTCGGTGATGGAATAGTAGTCTAATACGAAGAAGCCATACTGCGAATTCAAATAAATGTTTCCTCCTGTTATTTTTGGCCAGCATACCGGTAGCACACAGCAGTGCAAAAACAGGGTTGCAGGCTTCTACCGGTAGGCAGACTACCAGAGCTCACATGCGCTTGGGATATTCTTTTGTACTACCGGTAGCAGTACCGGTAGCATTCCCCTGTCTCTCCAAGCTCTCTAGCTAGCTAGTCAAGTGCAGCCCAGCTCTCCTCAAGAGCCTTGTCAACATTGGAGCCAGCTTGCCAGATTGGTTTTCCACTTGGGTATTGAGAATTGGGGCTCGATTCAAATTCAAACAACCGGGCTTTTCCTTTCAGCTTGCTTTTTTAGTTTCCATGGACTGCTTGACACTCAGGCTCACAATGCCAACAACTCGATCAACGTCAAAGGCTGAGACTCACTCATTCGGACGACTACACAGGCGACGATCTTTTTGATTCGGCTCCGGACGACCCATACCCAGACATTTTTGCTACATGTAGTACTGTTACATCTAATACCGAGTGTCATTGTTGGGTTGATAGCACTGCAGCTACTAGCTAGGAATACAGTACAGTATCAAGGTTAATTAGTTGATTTGGGCGAGCTGACAGAGCTCGAATTGAAAGCAGAGATGACTTCTTCGTAACCTAGCTAGATCCACCCTAAAAGGAATTGGGGTCGCTTTGGAGCTGGAACAGGCAATGGTTATGCCATTGTCTTGGGCAGCGACTTGGCGGATGAGTATGTCGTGGTCAATGCTGACTGCAGGAGTTAGAAATACAAGGGTGGTACCGGTATGGCAAGGTACTAGTAGCGGGTGCATGTATTTTGATGGGGTTTGATAACCGCTTTCGTGTTTTGCTTTTGTGGACCAGGTGCCGTTTCCAATCTTGGAGTGCGAAAGTTGAGCAGAAGCACGATTTGCTTCGACGCGACGAAATCTTTTGAGATCTACAGCACTCTAGCCAGTAGCACTCCTCAATTCCCGTTAGACTACAATGTATTTTGTCACCTCATGAAAACACAACCTTTATCACTTTAGTATCTTTGCTACCTCTACGGTAGTAGCTAGTTCGCCAGGGTTCGATAATGGTATCTTTCCACTCGTGTGGGCATGCAGTTTAGGCCCTCGGGAGATGCAAAGGTGAGTACAACATACTGGAGCTCCAGAGCGTCTACCCCCCTCACAAAACCGGAAGTTCCCCACTCAAAATCAATCAAAAGATGAAACTATTCAATGAAACCACGAAGATGCTCCTGATCATTGCAGCGCTTGGCAATGGCAGCAGGGCTCAAGACAATGTGACTTCATCGAATGCTTCAGCAGTGTCTGAAGCTGGAAAAGGTGGTGTCGAGGCTGATAGGGCGAATCGGGTGAATTCGCCACGCTTGGGCGTCTTTGGGGGTGAGGTGGATGACGTGGCCCCGGGACATCCTCCTGCTGGCTCCCCATCAATCGGCAATCGGTGGTATCTTCATCAGCGCAATCTTCGCCGCGTATTGGAACGTCTCATTGGGCTTGGGATGTTATTACGGTATCAAACGAGATATCGATTCACACCGGCGATGGATGGTCCGCCACATGTTCGTTGGCAACAGCGTGATCTTGGGAAGAATATTCAATGTTCTCGTTGAGATCATCTTCAAAGATCAGGCATACTACGTTGGACCTTTTTATGATGCCGCTTGCGAGGATCTCGCAGGTGTGAAATACGCCGAGATCGTGTATACCTCAGGTAACACCAACTATCTCAGCACTGAACAAATGTCTTTTGCCTGCAGAGGCATCACCACGCTCTACGACTCCTACTTCTTCGCAGTGCAGTTCGCTGTTGTCATGCTTGTCGCAGGCATCTTTGCTGCCGAGCTCTGGCTCTGGGCTACTGGCTTGCAGCACAGCCAGCAAACAGTTAGCTTGGCCCAGACCAGTATCCAAATTCCATCAGTCGGTGGCATGGAAGACAAGCGGCCTTTGATGGTCATCTGCAACTTGAATGAAGAGTTGCCCATCACGTTAGTCCAAAAGGAAGCAATAGCTACCGATGCTGTGAAGATGCGCTTTAGTCTCCCTGACGTCAATTCTGGTTTGCTCATTCCGCTACTTGGGCACGTAAGCCTTCGAAAGGCAGACATGATCAGGCCACGACCCTACTCTCCAGTCATCTCACTTGAAGCTGGATTCGTCACGTTCATTGTTCGACATTCTCCTCGAGGACTTCTGTCTACATACATGGTCCAACAGATGAAAGAGGGCCAGTCTCTGTTGCTCAGTGGTCCAATGGCTCCAGTCATTGCGCCCTCACTACAGCACGCCAAGAACCTTCTCTTGATTGCTGGGGGAACTGGTATTGCACCATTTTACTCTCTCGTTGAAACCACGGAGGCCAAATGCCACGTCTTAATGGCTGAAAAAGACCAAAGTCGCACCATTGGTATCCAGCCTATGAATGAAAACGTTACTTCCGAGGTCTGCATTGGTCGCAAGAGTCTTCATCAGCGACTGGACACTCTCCTTGGCATGGAAAGCGAAGTGCCAACCGTTTGCGTCATTTGTGGCCCACCCGCCTTCAACATTGCCGTCAAGAACAAAATCCGCAGGAAAGGCATTCCAAGTTTTGCCATTGGAACGGATGATCGATGAGCCTTTAGGCTGCTCCTCTTTTAAAAGAGACCGAAGGAACCCAAGAACCAAGAAACTACGGTAGAGTAAAGTTGTAGGTATCGGCTCATGGCAGAAACGATGTAAATGTTCCGTTATTGGGACATTGCAGCAAATTGTAGGTATCAGCCCATAGAAGAGCAAATTATGCTTCCACTTGATCCAACTTTCGTTTCTTGCCGTCATTGGCGTCAGTATCCTCTTCTTGTTTATCAGTGTGGTTATCTCGTCCAGTTGGTGTTTTAATTTGTCCATTTCGATCTTTTCTAACCGAAGCCATTCTTGGAGAATGTTCTTTTTTCTTGTGCCAATCTCATTGCCACGCTTCTTTGCGCCAGAAACTTCTCGCAAAGGCGGATGCCACGGGCTGTTGAGGGGGAGGCTGACCCTCGGGAGCTGGAACCGGCGACAAGGACTGGGCCTTCATGGCGTTCACATCCTTGCCTAGGTTTTAGGGGGGGTCAGGCACCCCGCAGGGGGGCCAGGAGGGGAGGAGGAGAGAAAAAGAAGGAGAGGGTTAGATTCCAGGTTCCGAATCCGGACCAGATCGTGGGACCCAAGAGTCATCCATCCTAATTCCACGAAAATTGAAGATATAAGGAATGATGGGGGATGGCAAGAAAGGGAGGGGGTTTCTTAATTGACGCACCTACACGGTTGGTACTTAAGCTAAAACGGTATTCGAAGTATGTCCTCGCTTTTGAATTGATCTAATCAGTTACTTTTTTATCTGGCCCACTCCTTTCCTGACCTCATCCACTGTAGCCCAACCCAGCACAAATCGAAGTACGATATCGACACAAATCGGTGTGAGGAGGTCTACCAATACGTCTACCGTTCAACCAGTTTCGATAGAGCTCGCAACATCCTCTTGGTGGTGGACGATAGTAAGATGGGAATGGTTGGATATACTGGAGCGGCATCATTGGCATCTGCATCTAAGAAGCGCATTTTTAGGTAGTGCTAGAATCGACATGCGTGCAGGTATATACAAAAAGATACCCAGATGGATGGCATGGAGCATCTCGGAGGGTCATGCACCATGAATTCCTGTATCATATTTCGGATCGAATTGGACCTTGCTACCAGGCTTTGTCAATGTACTGCTGCGAGATGGCTTTCCAAACCTTCCAAGTCCTTTGTGTCGATGAGGTCCATGATCATTGAGATGGTTTTGGCTTCATGTTTCGCATTTGGGTTGTCAGTTTCTTCATTGGGACAGACACAATCTCGACACAGGTGCTTCACATTTTTCCCCCGGCTCCTGTACTTTCCACAAAGCAGTCCTGCCTCATCGGTGTCAGCCCTCACCTTTGCAGTCCAGAACACCAGCGTCTTGTTTCGGTAGAGCTTTCCTCGGTAAGGAGGGTCCCATACCATCCAATTCGTCTCCAAGGGGATGTAGTTGCTCAAGATGGTTTCAATTGGGGCATGGAAGTCTTGCGCTTTTTTAACTTTATTGGAGGTTTCTCCTTCCCTACCAACAAACATACCTTCCAAATCCTCAAGTGCTTGGTCATGACGAGAAACCGCAAACATCTTCTTTCCTCTGGATTTACCTTCCGAATATTTAACCACAAAGCCAACATTCGCCCAGGCTTGATCCTTCTTTCCGATAGTAAGGGGTGAAACAGGATAATGACATCTTCAAAGCGGTGATTGAAAGGTTGTCCAACTGGCCCGTAACTGCCGCATCAATGTAGAACTGGAGCCCAATGCCTATCTCATTCTGTGGGTCATTCACGTATTCATTATAGGCGTTTCGGTATGGCTCGCCCGTGTTCAACTCACCCACATAGGTCGCCTTTCCAGGTGGTGGAGCCATCGCATCATCATTGAAAAAGCAGAAATCCTCATCTGTGAGGGGTGGATCGGTAAGCAATTACTCCACACAATTCCGAGCACTGAAGAAAATGAATTTGATCCGGGCATTGCAAAGAGGAAGGACTATCTCCTTTTCAAAAGTTAACTTGTCGCTCATGTTGTACTTTTCCTTAAGAATTCGGAACAGTTTTTTCCTGCTGAGATAGTCTGGATTCTTTCCCAGCTTTTTCGTTGTCCATCTGCGACCCGTTTTCCTCCAAATGCCAAGCATGTACATCATCATAGGTATCAAGAGGTGTCCTTTTACTACGGAGGATATCCATTAGTTTTACCCCTCGCTTCTCCGAATCGGTTAGCCCGGGTAATTTCTTTGCCTTGACATAGTAGGCTCTGAATGCGTTTATGTTGCTTCCGTCTGGGGGGCCGGTATAATCCAAGTCCTCTTTGTTGTCACCTTGCAATGTGGCAACTGACCCTTCCAAACTGAGCTCACTGTCCTCACTGGTAGTCTCACTATCCGAATCCGCGTTGAAACGATCAATGTTGGTAGGGAAATCACAATCCTCATCTAGCTCCTCATTTCCTTCCTCATCGGCACCCTTTTTGTGTCCGATTCGAGGATTTGCTGCAGGTTTCCGTGGTCTGTGTTCTTCTTTGTGAACCACCCATACCTTGGATTGAGGCCCTGGCATGGGCTATCCTCGTCCTGCAATCCTTTGTGGAATGGCTGCCCTGGAAACTTGTCCTCTTGCTGCCTATCTTGGTCTTTTGCGGGCCGACCGGTGTCAATGTAGACCAAGCTGATCAGCCTCTGGCCCTTGATCTTGGTTTCCCTTGGATCTAGCACCTATAGGATTAAAGCAAGGTCAAACCAAAGGGCTTTCTGCATCAGTTGATGGCAGCGCTTGTTACTGTTGTCATGTGAGATTGCTGATACCCACAGATTTGAATTTCTTATTGCAGTAAGGGCACTCAAACTCCTTCTTTGATGATGCCATGCTGCCAAGTTAGCTAGCCAACACTAGCTGCGCACTAGTACTAGCTAGGCGCAATGGCTGGTGATTTGATTCTGTGTGCTGGGAACCGCCCGCTTACACAATCTGGATATAGTTTATGGTACACAAAGAGAGGGTTTGCCTCCCGAAAAGACGTCCAAAAAGTGGATCCGCAATCGGGAAGCAGGCAGTCTTGCCGCGCGCGGCCTTCGTTGCATGCCCATTTGGAACACACAATCCCGATTCCAATCACTGCCAGCATTCTGGAAGAAATTTAGTCACGGATCGGGATCTGCTGGTTGGCTTTGGTAA